GGGGGGGGGAAGGGGGGGGGAGAGAGAAAGGAGACAGCAGAGAAAGGAGACAGGAGAGAGAGGGGAGAGGAGAGAGAGGGGAGAGGAGAGAAAGGAGACAGGAGAGAAAGGAGACAGAAGAGAAAGGAGACAGAAGTAGATGGAGTGCTGTCTCCTTTGTGGGGTCCCCTCATATATGCTGCTGGACACCTGATAGCTGCTGCTGTCTCCTTAAGGAGACAGCTGCTTGCTGCTGCTGCTGTCTCCTCTAGGGAGTCAGCTGGTTGCTGCTGCTGCTGCTGTCTCCTGCGGGGGGACAGCTGCTTGCTGCTGCTGTCTCCTCTGCGGAGACAGCTGGTTGCTGCTGCTGTCTCCCTACAGGAGACAGGTGCTAGCTGCTGCTGTCTCCTTTCGGGAGACAGCTGCTTGCTGCTGCTGTCTCCTTTAGGGCTTCCGCTGAGAAGCGGTGCTGTTACTGCGTTTGAGGGGGGTTGTACTCCTTGCGGGTGATCGCTGTCTGCTGCTGGAGCCAGTCTGCTGCTGCTGCTGCTGCTGCTGCTGCTGCTCCTGCTGCTGCTGCTGCCTGCGTCTAGCTGTAGTCGGGGAAGAGCTAGTTACGCTGCTGCTCTTTTGCGTGTCTGAGGTCTTCGTTGCTGCATCTGCATCTGCATCTGCCGCTGCAGCAGCAGCAGCAGTAGGAGCAGCAGCAGCAGCAGCAGCAGCAGGAGCAGCAGCAGTATCTGCTGGTACCGATCCCGATCCCGCATGTGTGGGGTGTTGCTGCTGCACTTTTGCTGCTGCGGGCTTCGCCTTGATGCCGTATAGTTCTTTCATATTGAGGCCGAAGGGAACGAGGTGGCTACCATAGCCAGCAGCAGCAGCAGCAGCAGCAGCAGCAGCAGCAGCGGGGTCATCAGCAGCAGCAGGAGACGGCGGGGGCTCTGGGGATCGGATGTGGGGCCCGAAAAAAGCGATCCCAGCCTGCTGTGGGGTTGGTGGGGGGTCCTCGTCCTCCTCCAGCAGCTGCATCATCAGCTGCATGCTGAGGGGGACATCAGCCGCAGCAGCAGTGTTTTCTTCTTCTGTCTCTTCTGCTGCTGCTGCTGCTGCTACTGCTGCTGCTGCTGCTGGTGCTGGTGCTGCTGCTGGTGCTGCTGCTGCTGGTGCTGCTGCTGGTGCTGGTGCTGGTGGTGCTGCTGCTGCTGCTGTCTCCTCCTCTTCTGTCTCCTCCTCTTCTGTCTCCTCCTCCCCCTGTGCTGCTGCTGCACCCAGCAGAGCTTCTAGTGCTGCTGCAGGGGACCCCCACCGCGCCCGTCGTAGGGGAGAGGAGACAGTTATATCTTCTGCTGCTTCTGCTGCTGCTGCTGCTGCTGCTGTCGCTGCTGCTCTATCTGCTGCTGTCTCTGCTGCTCTGTCTGCTGCTGTCTCTGCTGCTGTCTCTGCTGCATTGTCTGCTGCGCTGTGTGCTGCTGTCGCTGCTGCGCTGTCTGCTGCTGTCTTTGCTGCTGTCTTTGCTGCTGTGTCTGCTGCTGTGTCTGCTGCTATACCTGCTGCTGTTTTTGTTGCTGTTCCTGCTGCTGCACCTGCTGCTGTCTTTGTTGCTGTCTCTGCTGTAGTACCTGCTGCTGTCTTTGTTGCTGCTTTTGCTGCTGTGTCTGCTGCTGTCTTTGCTGCTGTCTCTGCTGCTGCTGCCTGTGTTGCTGCATCTTCTGTTTTCTTTGTTGCTGTTTTTGTTGGAGTTTTTGTTGTTGTTTTTGTTGTTGTTTTTGCTGCTGTTCTTGCTGCTGCTGTTCTTGCTGCTGCTGTTCTTGCTGCTGCTTGTGTTGCTGTCTTTGCTGCTGTCTTTGGTGCTGCTCTCCGCGCTGCTGCTGGCTTTGCTGCTGTGTCTGCTGCTGCATCCAGGGGGACCCAAAAGCCCCCCCCTTTTGTTGTTTCGTTAAGCACTGTCTCCCTCATTAAATTATTTTTTATTTCTTGTATTTTTGCTCTTCTCGCTGCTGTCTCCTTTTGTTCTTTTTCTTTTGTTTTTTTCTCTTTTTCTTTGTCTACCGTCCCCCCCCTCTTCTTCTCTCTCAACCCCACACCACTCGATCCCGTATCCAGCGGAGACAGCAGGGGGACAGAAGAAAGAGACATATCATCATCATCTGCTGCTCCTGCTGCTGCTGCTGCTGCTGCTGCAGCACCAAACCCTGCTGCTCTATCACTAACAGTGCGTGATGGTTGCTG